TTATTCTCTTCTTTCTGAAAGGAATTGTCTCCTTGCTAACATTTATAAGTTACTTTTGAAGTTTATAAGATAAAGCCAACCTACTGAAATACCTCCTGGAGAGACACATGTCCTGGCTATTTTTAATTGGAAATATAGGCTTTGCTGTGTGGGTTGGATGACTGGCTATTCACCTTCAGGATGGATTACTTTTGAGTTTTATATAGATGCAGCAGGTCCCAAAGACTAGATATGAGAGCTCCGGATGGTGAAATTGAATCACTGCCCTTCATACCTAAAATGAGAGTGTGGGCCATCATGATTTCCAAGGATCCTCGATACTTTTCTAAATAGGAAGGTTGCCTAGTTAAAAAAAAAAAAAGGCAGGGTGGGCTTTGTGGTCAGGTAGCCCAAGAGCTACCATCTACTGGCTGTGATCCTACAAAGTTATTCAGTCTCTGTGAGTCCCACTTTGTACACCTGCAAACTGAGAACACTATACCTATATCACAGAATTAAAGTACAATTTCATTCATGGTTAGTGAACCTAAAGGGCACAGGACTGCACCTAGCACGGTGAAGATGCTCCTTCACAAGATGCATTAAGAAGATATGCTTCCACCTCTGCCCACAATTAAGTGTGTAACTTCAGGAAAGCCACTTAAACTTGTTGCTATCAGAGTGCCTGGTTAGCTCCCTTGGTGAGGCGTACAACTTTTGATCTCAGAGTTGTGAATCCAAGCCCTATGTTGGCTGTAGAAATTACTTAAAAAATAAAATCTGAAAAAAACCCCAAAAGAATCCTAAATTGCTATCATCAGACAAACCTTGACTCTAAGGTCTAACAGTAACCACAACTGTGAGGCTCTCAACATATACAAAGTGCCCTTGGGTGAGAATATCAACCATTTTCAGGCTGACCTATTCTTATTGGGAAAAATATCCCATGGTTATTATTTTTGGGGGGTGATTTACTATTTAAAAATAGATTGCCTTGGGGTGGTGGGAGAAGGGCTGAAAGGATGCATTTTCACAAAATTTGAAAAACAGTTCCATAGCTCTGCACACACCCCCAAAGCAGTTGCTAAAAACAGTGCTTGGTGTTGTATCCCTTGGCTGAGAGCCTCTCCTTTGCTACGGGCACACTGAAAATAATACAGGAAATACTTTATTCAAGAGAAGTTAATTTATCCTTTCTTCAGGCAACCTCATCTGAGCCAAATGTGAACCACTCTTGAAGGGCTACATATCTAGCTGCACTGGTTGTGTTTTAAGTGAAAAGGAATATATTCCTTTGTGTTGGGCTGCAAGACACAAGTGTATGCAGCTGAATCAACCACAAAACTAAAGTCCAGTCATGGTATCCCACTATTCAAAACCACCCAACAGCATTCCATCTCTCTCATATCCTCACTCTAATCTATCAAACTCTGTACAACTGGCCCTCTTCCCTGTGACCTCATCAGCTTCAGTCACAAAAGCCTCCTCAGAGAAACTCCTGCTTCAGGGCTCTGACACTCACTCCACCTGTGCTAAGAGGCTCTTTGCCCAGATATCTATCTATCATCATGCTTCCTCCCTTTAATTTCTTAAGGTTTTACATTGTCATTTTTCACTGTGGAGGTCTCTGGCTAACCTTTCTATTATTGCAACCCTCCTATGCCTTCCCCCTTCCATCATTTATTTATTTCTCCTTAGTAATTATTATTAAATAATATTTTATATAATTTATTTATGTATATTGCCTGCTCCAATACCTTGTGAGTTATGAGAGCACAGGTGTATTTTCTTTTTTGCTTTCTTTACTACTTATAAAGTGTTTAAAATAGGACCTAGACCAGAATAGGCTCTTAATACATTCTTATTGAATGAATGAATAAATGAATGTTCATAGTCTGACTGAGGAGAGGTGATTCATCAGCATGAACCATCAGAGATCTTACAGCATGAGCTTCCAAAGGAAAAGACTAAGCTTTGCTAATTCTCTGCCTCCTCAGAGCTTTCCAAAGCTCTGGGTTGGAGGGGGCACATAATATTTATTTATTTTATGAATTAAATTATTTATTTATTTATTTATGAATGACTTAAGCTTCCTAATTATCATCACAGTGTGTCCTGAAATAAAACGCCATGCTATGAGCAGCTGGTTTCATATTATAATTTGGCTACCAATTTTGTTTTAGAAACTTAAATACTGATTCATTATTTCTGAGCTTCAGTGTTCACATCTTTAAATGGGAACTATAATTTTTTAGCAGATATATCTAAGAATTAGAATATCTAGGCTATATACAATGTCTTGTAGATAGTAAAGTTTTCATAAACATTAGATGTTACTGTTTCTTTTATTAAAATAACTCTAGCTCAACAGTGGCTACTATGATACAATTTACGTTTACATTGTTCTCTTCTAGGAAGAATTTAAAATCTCAGCTGCAACAGAACATCTGTAATAATAAAACAGATGAAAATATGAATCCTGTAGATTCATATTCTCTTTAAATTCCTCCTACATCTCAAGCTACACCTGTTCAGGAAGTATTATTTCACATAAACAAAGTGTTATTCATTGACCACCATCAAAAAGGAGAAAAAGGGGGAAAAATCTACAACTTCCACAGGAAATCCCAAGCACAAATTCTCACAGCTGCTTCTATTCACTTGTTATTACTGCTATGACCATTGTTAACTATGGCTCAAAACAAAGACATTATTTTCATGGTACTTTTACCTCCTTAAAGCAAAGTAGTATTGCTTCTCTCCAATCTTCATGATTAAAATTCTTGTACTAGTCAGCCAGGCTGAATTAAGTCGGCAACCTAGGAAGTCAAAGATTAAATTCTGGAAGTTAAAATTAGAGTGTAAAAAATTATTTCATGTGCCATGAAGTGTATATACAGTTCTTTCAATTATAGCCCCAGATCTGTCTCTGTGGGAAGGCACACTTCATTAACTTTCAGCTATGTAGGTCTGGGGCAGATAGTGGCATCATCTTATAAAATTAATAGTATTTTGGCCATAATTTTCTTCTCATCAGGAGTAGAAGATTTGTAAGAGTAACTGCTTTAAGGGAATCTTGATAAGGGAACTAACATACTTCACAGAGGTTTCTAAATTTATCCCAATTATGAACTTGCCCTATTTATCTAAATCTCTGGAATTTATTTTTGTTTTGTGCTGACCAGTCTTTGACTCATTCATCTCATTAGTCCTTCCTTGTTAAACTTTAATTAAGTTCTAAGAGAGGCTATGGTTAGAAATCAGCACTGATTGTATGCAGTATAATTTATTATCTGAGTTGGTAAAATTGTCAGTTTTGACAAATTTTAGTCATTTTTTGACTCTTCAGAGTAGTTAAAACTTTAAACAAATATTTTTTTAAAGTAAATCAGGCAAGTTTCCAATTGGAGTAAGTATGGAAATGTTTTTAGATATTATATATACATTTGGGGCAATTTCCTTGGAATAATAATATGATCTACAAAGACTGTCTTCGAAAGATTCTTAAATTCAAATAGAATGGCTTCTCAGTTCCACCCGAACTAATTTTGAGTTTCATGTGGCTATATTTTGTTGAATTCCTGCTGTGGTGAAGAGAACACATTGATTCTCTACACTGACTCTTCATTCCTTCTGGGGAAAAATAATGACAGTTCTAATTTGCTAGATTCTCTGGGCTGATTTTTCTCTCTCAATAGTCCTTTGCCTTACATATTTGGCTACCTAATCCTCCTAGGAGGAGGCAGGTGTGCATTTAGAGACCTATGGTTGAGGTGATGTATTTAATATTAAAATTTTAAAAATGTTTATTTATTCTTGAGACATAGAGAAAGAGAGGAAGAGAGAGGGAGAGAGAGAGAGAGAGAGAGAGAGAGAGAGAGATGAGAGGGGGAGGGGCAGAGAGGGAGGGAGACACGACTCTGAAACAGGCTCCAGGCTCTGAGTTGTCAGAACCTGTCAAAACCCTTATAAGATATGCAAAAGGGCAAGGAAAACAAAGTCTGAATACATAAAGTGGTTATCAGAACCAGACTCAGAAATGACAAACATGCTGTAACTATCAGATAGAAAACTTAAAATAACTACGATTAATTTGTTAGAGGCTCTAATAGAAAAGAAATATGCAAGATAAGAAAGGCAATTTCAGCAGAGTTAGAAACTATAAGATAAAATCAAATGGAAATGCCAGAAGTCAAAAACACAGTAACAGAGATAAAGAGTGACTTTGACGGGCTCATCAGTAGCCTTGACATATCCTAGAAAAGAATTAGTGAACTTGAAGATAGGTCAATAGAAAGTATCCAAATTGAAAACAAGGAGAAAGAAAAGGTGAAAAATCAAACAGATTATCTAATATATAATGGTATAATATCAAATAGTATAACAAATGCATAATTGGAGTCCCAGAGGAAAATAAAGAGAGAATGGGGAAATATATATATTTATCATATATAATATATATCTAATATTTTGAATAAAATAATGACTGGAATATTTTCAAATTTAGTGTCAGACATCAAACCACAGATCTCAGAACCTCAAATAGTACCAAGAAGAATACATTAAAAAAAAAAGTCTAGGCATATCCTGTTCAAGGTGTTGGAAACTGAAAACAAAAAGAAAATCTTAAGATCAATCAGTGAATACTTACCTACAGAGGAATAGTAATAAGATAAACAACAGACTTCTAGTCAGAAACAATATAAGAAAGATGATAGTGGAGAGGCATCTTTAAAGTGTGAAAGGAAAATTCCATATTCAGTGAAAGCCACACCTTCAAAAGTGAAAGAAAAATATAGACTTCTTCAAACAAAGGGAGAGGAAGGAAGCTCCATTTTTTTTTCACCTTTTTATTTTATTGGGATATAGACACAGGGCATATCACAGGGGGAAGCAATGTGATGCCTCCTGACAAGGCTCAGGACACTGATAGCCAGAGGCAGGGATACCACTGTGAGCAGGCCTAAGCTCAGCTTCACAGAGGTGTGAGGAAAAGTTGATCCTTCCACACCAAGATCACCAAAAATATGGAATGCTTCATGAATTTGTGAGTCATCCTTGCACACGGGCCATGTTAATCTTCTCTGTATCATTTCAATTTCAATATATGTGCTGCTAAAGTCAGCATGCTCCACTCTTGATTTATAAAGCATCCTGTGCATATAGGGAGAGAATAAATTGATTGAAGGACACCTTTGGAGATTAGCTACAAGCATCCACTGCATGCAAGGTAAAAGTTATGCTATTGGGGAAAGTCCATGTTACCTTATTTTCCTATTTACAAGTTGCTGGTATTGGTCTACAGGATTTCTATGAATTCTTAAAATAGAACTATTTTTTAATGGTAGTTGTACATTGTTCATTACTTTATCAATCTGGAGATAGGTATTTTTGTGTGTGATATATAAAAAAAGTCTATTTTAAAATTAGATTATTTTTGAAATGTTAGAATGGTTGGCTACATATATTAGCTGTGGCTGATTATAATCAATCTATGGAAACTTGACCATTGACACATAAGCTGATGTCCATGTTTTTTTAAGTTAATTTATTAATTTTTGGAGAGACAGAAAGAGTGAGTGATGTAAGAAGGGGCAGAGAGAGAAGGAGAGAGAGAGAATCTCAAGCAGGCTCCCTGCTGTCAGCATAGAGTTTAATGCAGGGCTCTATCTCATGAACTGTGAGATCACAACCTGAGCCAAAATCAAGAGTTGGATGCTTAAATGACTAAGCTACCCAGTCACCCCTCTGTATGTTAATAATAAATGTCAATCAAGAGTCAAACTGATTAACAAGGGTCAACATGTGCAATTTCAATTTCAGAATTATTGCTTACTTTTAAAAATGCTTATTTATTTTTTAAAGTTTATTGAGAGAGAGAGAGAGAGAGAGAGAGAGAGAGAGAAGGGGCAGAAAGAGCAGGGCAGAGAGAGTGGGTAACAGAGAATTCCAAGCAGGCTCCACACTGTCAGTGCAGAGCCTGATGTGGGGCTTGAGCTCATGAACTGTGAGATCATGACCTGAGCTAAGGTCAGATGCTTAACTGATTGAGCCAACAGTTGCCCCTAAATGTTCATTTATTTATTTTTGAGAAAGTGAGCAGAAAAGAGGGGGAGAGAGAGAGAATCCCAAGCATGCTCTTCACTGACACCCTAGAGCCTGATGTGGGGGTTGATTTCACAAACCATGAAATCATGACCTGAGTCAAAATCAACAGTCAGTCATTTAACTACTGAGCTACTCAGGCATCTCCAGAATGACTGATTATTAACATTATCTTTTCACTTTCTTTTTATTCTTATATTTAAAAAGAAATAACTTGGTTATTCCAATTTGATTTTGACAAATATTTATAAAGTCAATCTCTTCAGTTTTTAAAAATGCTAATAAAATTATTGGAGTCAATTATAAATTGGTACTCTTAAAATTATTTTACTGACACTTACAAAGATATTTGTGATATAATGTAAAATATGACTCAGCTGCACAACTTCCAAATAGTGAGTTTGAATCATGCTTAATACATTTGTGTATATTTGTTAAAGAAAAAATATTTGGGGCACTTGGGTGGCTCAGTCGGTTAAGCATCCGACTTCAGCTCAGGTCAGATCTCATGGTTCATGGATTCAAGCCCCGCATCAGGCTCTGTGCTGACAGCTCAGAGCTTGGAGCCTGTTTCGGATTCTGAGTCTCCCTCTCTCTCTGCCCCTCCCCCACTCATGCTCTGTCTCTCTCTGTCTCAAAAATAAATAAACTATAAAAAAAAAAAGAAAAAAAAATTTTTTACAAATAGTTTATTGTCAAGTTGGTTTCCATATAACACCCAGTACTCATCCCCACAAGTGCCCTCCTATATGCCCATCACCCCCTCCCCTCCCACACCCATCAGTCCTGTTTGTTCTCAGCATTCAAGACTCTCTCATGGTTTGCCTCTCTCCCTCTCTCCCACTACTACCCCCCTTCTTCTCCCCCATGGTTTTCCGTTAAGTTCCTCCTAATCCTCCTATATGTGCAAACATATGATATTTGTCCTTCTCTGCCTGACTTATTTCGCAAAGCATAACACCCTCAAGGTCCATCCATGTTGCTACACATGGCCAGATTTCATTCTTTCTCATTGCCGTGTAGTATTCCATTGTATAGATAAACCACATCTTCTTGATCCATTCGTCCGTTGATGGACACTTAGGCTCTTTCCATGTTTTGGCTATTGTTGAGAGTGCTGCTATGAACATTGGGGTACATGTGCTCCTACGCATCAGCATTTCTGTATCCCTTGGGTAAATTTGTAGCAGTGCTATTACTGGGTCCTAGGGGAGTTCTAGTGT